CTGCTGCTTGCCCCAGCTTCCTAGAGGCCTGCCAGCCCCCCACACCCCTTGCTCAAGAGAACAGGGCTGGAGCAGGCAGCTGAGCGGCTGCCTGGGCGCTCCTCGGCTTCTGTGAAGCCTCTCGCTCCCCTGGCTGTCAGGCACCCCCCACGCCAGCCTCAGGTTGGGGGAGCCTCTCCAGCAGCTCCCTGCTCCCCTGCAGCCCTGTGCTTAGCTGGGCAGTGAGGCGCACCTTGGCCAGTAGGTTCGTGGGGCACAAAGCATCTCCCCACATCTTGCTGAGCTGCTCAGCGGGGCTAGGAATCTCCTGGTGGAGCACCAGGCTTAGAGCAAATGTTCCGGCAGCCCCTCTGCTCCCCGCCAGCTACCTTGGGGCTTCATGCTTGCCTGGGTACTAGGAAACCTCCCAAATGAGCAGCAGGCTTGGAGCAATCTTTCGGGATGCCCTCCCAGTCCTGCGAGCTGCCTTGGGGACTGCAGCTGATAAAGTGGGTTAGGAATCGGCTATCTGAGCCCTGGATTGGGAACGGGCATCTAGGCAGCCCCCTGGATGTCCCCTCACCTGCTGGAAGCCTAGGACTCATCTGAGAGGTCCCAGCTGCTCCTCAGCTGGGAAGGAGGTTGACAGGTCTCCCCACGTTTCCCACTTGGTTTCCTTGTCCCACAAGAGCCCCTCTGCCCCATTGCAGCTGGGGCAGGCATGCAGTTGTTCCCCTGATTCTCTGCCACCCTCCTGAAACGGGTTCATTCCATGGGAGGGAAGGAATCCCCCAGCTGTGCACCAGGCTTGGGAGGGATTGCTGAGTGGGTCCCGCGACCTTTGCCAGCTTCCTGTCATGCCAGTCATGCCCTTCCTGCTCACCGACTCTCCTGGACCCCACCAGCCCCCTGCCCAGCTGGACATTGTGCTGGGGGCAAGATTCCTCTCCTTCCCTCGGCTCCCACCTTGCTTCCTTCTAGCCTGCTTCTGATCGGGGCAAGGTTTGAGAGGGCTCCAGTCTCCTCACCATATTCCTGATGCCTGCTGATCGCTTGGAGTTTAGGAACTAGCCTGTGGGACAAGCCAGCAGAACGGCTGCAGATCTCCTGCTTGCTAAATGTCAGCCTCCTTAAGCTGGATGTTCTGGAAGGTATTGCGGAATCTCCCAGCAATGCACACAGTTTCAAGGCAAGCTTTCATGCTACCCCCTTTCCCTTTGCTGTTTCCTTGAATCCTGCCAACTGCCCGGGAGGTTGTGCATCCCCCAGCTGAGCATAGCTAAGGACAGGCTTTGCCAGGGCTCTTGCTTTCTCTCCAAGCCTAGCACTCATTTCAGAAGGCTGGAATCCCTCTGGCTGGGTCTGCTCTGTTGCTTTCACCAGCTTTCTTGAAGCCTGCCACCCCCACACCCCCTACTGGTATCTCTCAGTTGAACCTCCTGGTGGGATGGACTTGAAGGTAGCTTCCGTTGTTCCCCTCCTGCTCCCTCTCCCTCACAGGCAAGGAGGGAGGTAGCTTGGGTTGGAAGGAAAAGCCTCGTAGCTAAATGTCAAGGGAGGGAGAAGTTTAGCAGAGATCCTTGCCGTCTGCTCCATTCTTCATGGAAGGGTTTCTCTCTCCCCTTGGCTCCTGTGTAAAATTGCTCAGTTGGCCAATAGTGCCCACCAAATCCCACAGTTCATCATCCGCTAGCAAGCAAATGGTGACCAGTGGGTCATGCCGAGGCTCAGCAGCACTCACTCTCTTTCCCAGCAGAAATTCTCTTTCCGTCCAGCAACTCTATACTTCTCTCATTCTAGGATGCAGGGAGGCGATAACAGAACTTCTTTTACTCACCAAACCAAAGGCCAGAAGCGGCTGAAGGAAGCAGATGTCTGGTCTTGACCCGCAGTCTGCCTCTTTGGAAGTCATCTCTGCTGTGATTCAGGCTTCAGAGATTTCCTCTAACTGATGTCTTAATTAGTGCCTTACAAAAGAAAAATCACACTTAGTGACGTCATTTGGACTGGTGTGAAGGTTTGAGTGAAGGTGTGAAAAAACCCAGCATGGTTGAGGTCTAGGGGGATATAATTGGGATCCAAGTGGTGCCACGTGAAACATGTTTGCTCCACCGGACTTCCCCTTTTTCTTACCTTATTTTTCTCTTTTCAAAATCCAAAAATTTCACTGCTGCGAAAAACAAAGCTATAAAAAAGCAGTGCTGGTGTTAATCTGGGTAACAGAAACTTGCACCCTTTTGTTTCTGTTTTGCTTCTGCCACATGAATTAATTCATCAATCAAACTTGCTCTTTTTTGTCCTGGTCAATCAAGGTTTTGTGCAAGATGCACTGACACTCCTGACCATTAAGCACATGGGAACTGCATTTCCAGGTCCATTTAGAAAGTTGTTGTGAGCTGCCCCGAGGCTTCGGCGAATGGGGCGGCATAGAAATGTTTCAATAAATAAATAAATAGCAAGTCCCACTGGACTCCGCAGATCTTATGAGTTCTCATGCAAAGGACTGCCCTGCCAAAGCAGCTGT